GATGATATATAGCTAAAGTAGTTCTATGAGGATGGCGCGGTGGCTCACGCCTATAATCCTAGCACTCTGGGAGGCTGAGGCGGGCGGATTGCTCGAGGTCAGGAGTTCGAAACCAGCCTGAGCGAGACCCTGTCTCTACTAAAAATAGAAAGAAATTAATTGACCAACTAAAAATATATATACAAAAAATTAGCCGGGCATGGTGGCACATGCCTGTAGTCCCAGCTACTCGGGAGGCTGAGGCAGTAGGATAGCTTAAGCCTAGGAGATTGAGGTTGCTGTGAGCTAGGCTGATGCCACAGCACTCACTCTAGCCTGGGCAACAAAGTGAGACTCTGTCTAATAAATAAATAAATAAAGTAGTTCTATGTTTTGTCTCAATAACATGTATAGTAGAGAAACTAGTCTCACAGAGGTATGTTGACAGGATGGAAGGAGATATTTTAAAGTAATTCACCAAGCTCAGGATATTCATTTTTAATTTTCATCCAAAATAAAAGGCAAGTGATGATTTATTCTCGAAATATGTCTTCAAACCTTCATCTTGCTCCAACCATTTATGATGTAAAAGAGTTAAATATAAACTCTGGATTTTATATACTGTTGGGTAACAGTTGGCAAACTAACCTTAAAATATCTCCCATGATGGCATGGTTTTGTTGTGCATGACTAGGTTGCAGGTTTTTCTATATGTGAGTCACCATCCAAGCTTTGCAACACCCAAACTGGTCTGTACTTGATCTATGAGATGAGTCTATTGATGTGTTTCGATATCATGGAATGTCAAATTGCTGTAAAAATTTCTGAACACTGATCTCAATTTTTGTACTTATTACATGGCAGATTGGCAACAGTCTACATGCCATATTTTGGGTAGCACACTTGGTCCATTGGCAAGTTATTGGAACTCTTCTTCTATCTTCAGGGATAGAGGGGTTTCTGTGATGAGTGAGAAACTAGCTGAGGTGTTAGCTGAAGCTAAAGGAAACATTGAAGGAGTAGAGCAAAAAAGTCATAAAATCTAATCATGGCTTTGTTATCTTTTGAAGTAACAAGAACATCTACCCCAATTCCTTCCTCGTTTTGTCACATGTATATTTATATATTCCAACTGACACCACTTTTTCTCCCCCCTCCCAATCTCCCTCCTCATAACATAAAGGTTTTCTTGTGGTTAATTGAAAATTAGTCAATAGGCCAGGTGAGGTGGCTCATGCCTATAATCCCAGCACTTTGGGAGGCTGGGGAGGGAGGATTGCTTGAGGCCAGTAGTTCAAGACCAGCCTGGGCAACATAGTGAGAGCCTGTCTCTACAAAAATAAAAAAAAATTTAGTCAATATCATGTGGTGCCAGAAAGTAAAGAAGTGCTCAAAAAATGATGGGATGTGTCAAAAGGACACAGGAGCCAACTTAAAGGGGCTCCCAATGGCCAAATCTGGGACAATTGAGCAACAAAATAAATGATAGTAATAGATTATATTGCAGAGATTAAAACAAATATCCATGAGTTTATGCTGATATAAATAATGAAATAAATGGGGAGAAGAAAAAGCTTTTCTTTACAGCAGAACTCCAATTAATATAGAAGGAATGGTACAAACAGAAAATCACCATTTATCAAATACCGCAGTAATAATTGTTCCCAGAAAGAATCATCCATGGAAGCTAAAACTAATGGGTGAAAGTATGATAAAAACTGGGATATAAACATAGTCTTAAAGTGTCTAATTACAAAGGAAAACAGTAACTTTATAGGGGAAAAACCTGGCGGATGCCACCTTAACCAGTTAACATCACCCAAAATGAGAAATTGACATTATCTGCTTCCTGATAATGGACACACCATGACCACTTCAGTGGTATTCTTCCCCAAAATGCATAACCTGAATTTAATCGTGAGCAAATATCAAACACCCAAGTTGAGGAATAATCTGTAAAATAACTGGCCAATACTCTTCAAAAGTGAAATGTTGCAGATTAAAGGAAACTAAGGAAACATAACAACTAAATACAATGTGTGTTCATGGACCAGATCCTGGTCTAATAAAAGGACATTAGCAGGCCAGGCACTGTGGCTCACGCCTGTAATCCTAGCACTCTGGGAGGCCTAGGTGGGCAGATCGTTTGAGCTCAGGAGTTTGAAACCAACCTGAGCAAGAGCGAGACCCCGTCTCTACTATAAATAGAAAGAAATTAATTGGTCAACTAATATATATAGAAAAAATTAGCTGGGCGTGGTGGCACACACCTGTAGTCCCAGCTACTCAGGAGGCTAAGGCAGCAGGATCGCTTGAGCCCAGGAGTTTGAGGTTGCTCTGAGCTAGGCTGACGTCACAGCATTCTACTCAGGGCGACAGAGACCATATCTTAAAAAAGAAAAAAAAAAGACATTAACAGACAATTGGGGGCCAGGCAGGGTGGCTCACAACTGTAATCCTAGCACTCTGGGAGGCCAAGGTGGGTGGATTGCTCAAGGTCAGGAGTTCGAAAACTGCCTGAGCAAGAGTGAGACCCTGTCTCTACTAAAAATAGAAAGAAATTTGGGGAGGGGATGGGCAATATACGTAACCTTAACATTTGTACCCCCATAATAAGCTGAAAGAAAAAAGAAAAATAGAAAGAAATTAATTGGCCAACTAAAAATATATAGAAAAAAAATTAGCCGGGCATGGTGGCGCATGCCTGTAGTTTCAGCTACTTGGGAGGCTGAGGCAGGAGGATTGCTTGAGCCAAGGAATTTGTGGTTGCTGTGAGCTAGGCTGATGCCACGGCACTCTAGCCCGGGGAACAGAGTGAAACTCTGTCTCAAAACAGACAAACAAAAAAACAAAATAAAAACAGACAATTGGCAAAATTTAACCAAAGTTTGCTCTTATTGCTTGCAAGCAAGAAACTGGCTAGTACATCTCAATGGCACAATCTTGGGTCCAAGCAGAGTTCCTTGAATTTAATACTGTTATTATAGTTTATATTTATTAAGTATTCATTCACAAATCTTGTAACATGTTCTCCCACTGAATGCTGATTTTCACAGACCTGGTACCATCTCCATTATACAGATTAAAAACTCTGATTCAGAGAGATTAAGGGATTTGCCCAAGATTGTTCAGCTAATAAGTGGTGAAGCAGTGAACTGAATTCATCTGTATTACGCTTGATGCATTTTCATCACAATGCTTCTTACTGATGCCCTTCTCTGACAAGTCTTTATTTTCCCAAGAAACTACTGAATATTCAGTCACTCTGGCATGGAAAAGCTAGAAAGAACTACCTAAATCCAAGGTTAGAAGTCTTAATGCCACTGTATGACTCAGTAGGCATGGCCATTGACCCTAGTTCCTACCTTGGAAATTGTCGGTTTGATCATCTATTAAAAAAGTTATGGCTTCCATATTACTTGGTATCAACGAAAGTGATTCAGATTATCATTCCTCCAAAAAAGATCTAGTCAAAGAAAATAAAAATCAATACTATATTATTCCTAACAGAATTAGGAATAATAAACAATATCTACCACATATGGAATCTCAGATATTTTATAAACTTACTCTACCAATTCAGTGTAAAGTGATTGAGCTTTCTCTTTTTAATGTCAGTGGAATAGTCTGCTTTGACTCTGCCTTTCCTGCCTCTCACACAAATCTCGACACTGTGATTTATGTTCCTGAACAAATTAGACTTAATTTAAGAGCAAATCATCAGCAACAGGTATAATAATCTTGGCAGAACATTTATTTTAATTAATTGCCTTCTGCCTAACATAGATAGAAGGATGCTGATGCCATTTACCCTATAAGGATTAGTGCTATCATGTAATTAATTTTTTTTCTTCCCCTAGAACTTAAAGTCTCATCAGTTTTAAATTACAAAGGCATTGTTTTATTTCATATTTAATCATAACAATCTAGCTTCTATGGCAATGTTTATAGAAAAAAGTTGTGAAAGAAAAATGGATTCCAACTACTCTGTGCCTTTATAGATTCTTGTTGCCTAAACATAGACCCTGTTAGGTTCCATGCGGGTCAGAGTGGTAACTGTTTCAGGACCAGGAAGCTGAAAACCCTCACTTCCAAAGGCTTGGCAGGGGGAGGGGTAGAGGAATGATTTTAGAACAATGTAGTTTTTCTTCCTCCTTAAGTTGAGTATCAGCTTTCCCATTATTTATACTTCAGTGAGAAGCAAAAAGAAAACAATTTCCCTCCACTCCAGTATGGCGCTCACCGGCCGCGAAACCTTGCCCACAGGCGGCACTCATAGTCCCCACGGTAGTGTGCGTTGTGCGTTGACAACGAATCTGTTTTGCTCTTGTGTGATGAGGAAAGCTTTAAAGCACTGAAAGCTTGTTTTACTTTACAGGCAGCTTTACTTGTAATGTAAATCAGAATAGGTAACATGTACATGTATGTTTTCATTTTATTTTGATAAATGAAAAATTAGAAAAGTCATATCACGGCTGTCGGCTAAAGTCGCTGTGCACATTCATCCGTGGCTATCGACTACAGTCGACACTGGTCCTGAAGTGCAATAAGGCAGACAGTTAAAATCCTATCAACAGGCCAGGCATGGTGGCTCATGTCTGTAATCCTAGCACTCTGGGAGGCCAAAGTGAGTGGATCGCTCAAGGTCAGGAATTCGAAACCAGCCTGAGCAAGAGCGAGACCCCATCTCTACTATAAATAGAAAGAAATTAATTGGCCAACTAAAACTATGTAAAAGAAATTAGCCGGGCATGGTGGTGCATGCCTGTAGTCCCAGCTACTCGGGAGGCTGAGGCAGGAGGATAGCTTGAGCCCAGGAGTTTGAGGTTGCTGTGAGCAAGGCTGATGCCACGGAAGAGTGCCCGGGCAACAGAGTGAGACTCTGTCTCAAAAAAAAAAAAAAGAAAAAAACCCAGCATGAATCCAATTAGTATAACAAAATAGCCAATCCTGAAATAAAAGCCTGTTTAGTTAGGTTTTTATAATATAAAATAGACTTATTGAAATGACACAAATTTGGAATCATTAACTTTATTTGTCACTCTTTAAAGACATTGGTCCACTTGCACATGAAAAGTAGAATTTATCTACTTCCAATTAATATTCTATAGAATGAAGTTGTACCACAAACCATAGTAACTTACATGGGAAAAGTTACTGAAATAAAAATATTTTATATTCATGCCTCAAGATGTCCCCCAAAGATTTGTTTTTGTGTGTACAATTAAAAGCATCTATACTCCACAAAGCTAGTCTCTTCTTAGATCAATGTAGTATTTTTAATATCCATACTAAACCATATGAATCACCGGACTTACAGAAGGTTAAAAAACAGCTATCCTCTAGAGGTCAATCAGATACAGTTCCAAAACTAAGCGATTGTATAAGCACATCCATATTCTAGGGCTGCTCTAAATTAAAAACCTTTTCTCTTGTTTCAGAGATATTTACATCAAATTAAGACATTTACAAATGGTTCATAGTATACAACAGCCCAAATACAATTTTCACCTACCCTGTGTAAGGAAGTTAGGCATTCATAAGATTCTCTAATAAATTCAGTGCATTTTTCCAACATAAATAACACAAGCTATTCTAAGCATTTTACATTTCTTTCAGTGCACATTTCCAAATTTATTAAATGGAATGAAATTATGTTATTAAATGGCTATAGCATATTTGAGCATATTATGGAATCTATATCACACAGTTCAATTCACATCAATACTATAATTCACTCTAAAAAAACATCATAGGCACACACAAAATAGAGAACAAAATTTGCTTTTTTTTATATATAAATTTAAAGTATACTATCTACTTTAAACCACACTAAGAGATATATTTTAACAAAACAGCCAAATTCCAAACTCCTTTTCTAAGTCTGGCATAAGGAAAGTTCAATCCATTCGAATCTTCTGGTTTGTCATCCTATAAATGATGCTATCATATCCAGGATCCATGTTCCAAATATTGTAAGAGGTGATAATCACAGCCAAGGCCAAGGCGATCATTATCCAAAGTACCATGTTGAAAACCACTGGATACTCAAAATTATACTTATATGCAAGGTTGTAGGGACTTGCTGTGCTCTTCTACAAAGAAGAAACGAAAGAAAAATGAAGAAGAATCTTAGGAAATTATCCCAGTTTAGTAGCTATGATTCATTTGTCTAACAAACATTTATCCCTAAGTGGAATAAGAACTACTTATACTAGGAGAAATCAAGAAGGGGAGCCTTTGTGGAGCAGATGCTTGGCACTGTTGGTAGAAATAAAGACCAGTCCAGCTACTTGAGAAAATTTGGCAATACCTAAAAAAGTTGAAGGTGTTCATATCCTGTGATCCAGTAAATCTGAGGGAAAATTTCTACATATGTACCAAGAGACATGTACAAAAACCATCAACAGAACGGATAATTGTGGCATATCCATATGATGGCACACATAGCGGTAAAATGACTGAACTACAGCTACATTCATCAGCCTGAGTGAATCTTAGAAACAATACTGAGCAAACAACATAGAAAAATATATATGATTCCATTTATATAAAATTCAAATATAGGCAAAACCAAACAACATCATTTAAGGATAAATACATACGTAGTCAAACTAAAGCAAAACAAAGGAATATTAACATAATATTCAGGATAGCAATTACATCCGGATGGGGGAGGGTAGAGGGATAACATAGGGGAGGTTTCAAAGTAACAAGTATTCTCTTAAGCTATATAGTATTGATATTTTTATTCTTTTGTTTTCTTTCTTTCTTTTTTTTTTTTTAAAGCCTACAGCACCCGGTATTCCCTGGCAGTCTCTCATCCAAGTACTAACCAGACCTGACACTGCTTAGCTTCCGAGATCAAGTGCGTTCAGGGTGTTTTGGCCATAGACTGTTTTCCTTTTTAAACAGTCTTGTTCTGTCACCCAGTGTGGAGGTATGATGACAGCTCACTGCAACCTTCAACTCCTGGGCCCAAGCGTTCCTCCCACCACAGCCTCCCAAAGTGCTGGGATTATAGGCATGAGCCATTGTGCCAGGTTTATTTTTATTCTTTTTATTTTTATTCTTTAAATAGTATTAAATGTTACATACTTATGTGTGTATGAGCCACTTAAATTTTTTTTCAACTTAACGAGGAAAAACAAATGATGCTTCAGCCACATCTTCAATCTTGAAGTTAATTTCATCTGCCAGTCCTGGTGGGGGTGGAAGGGGAGGGTCGAATGCAGGCCTATCCAAAGGCATTGTTTGAGAAGCTGAATTCATTCTGGCAAAGGCATTGTTTGGGAAATTTCATTCTGGCTAGACAATTTTAAAAGTAGGAAAATAGCAGGAGATGAAGCTAGAAGCAGGGAAGCTACTGAGAATTAGGACTTGAGCCTCTAGACCAGGGGTCCTCAAACTTTTTCAACAGGGGGCCAGTTCACTGTCCCTCAGACCGTTGGAGAGTGTGGGGCACATTCCACACATGCACACTGTGGGCCTGGGACAAGTCGACTGCTAAGCAGGACAGGCAGCAGCAGCAAAAACACCTGGCGGGTTGACAAGTTTCAGGCAGGAAGTGAGTGATCAGGTTTGTCTTAAAAAGGTAACTGTGACTGGGTGTGGTAGCTCACACCTCTAATCCCAGCACTTTGGGAGGCTGAGGCAAGAGGACCTCTTGAGAACAGGAGTTCAAGACCAGCCTGGCAACACAGTGAAACCTCATCTCTACAAATCACACACAAAAACTTAGTTGGCCCTCATGGCATGCACCTGTAGTCCCAACTACTTGGGAGGCTAAGATGGGAGGATCGTTTGAGCCCAGGAGTTTGAGGTTACAGTGAGCTATGATCATACCACTGCACTCCAGCCTGGGTGACAGAGCAAGACTCTATCTCCAAAAAAAAAAAAAAAAAACCCAAAGTCTTGATGACAATGTGCACGATGGATGTGGGAAGGGCCAGCTGGGAAGCAGGGAGACGGACAAGTTGGGAAGTGGTGGCACAGTGGGGGATAGTGCCTGGCAGTGAGGATGGAAAAGAGACTGTAACCTAGTTTTATTTGTCCCTACAGCCCTAGCACCTGGCATGTTGCCAGCATTCAGTAAACATTTTCTTAAACTCTTATCTCTCTCCTAAACTAGGGCAGATAGTGGTTTCAACTGGAGGAGAAGATGAGTACACAGACATGTGTTTATCTGCGAGTAGCTTACATACCCTGAAAATCTCTTTGCTTGCTTCTTTTTTGGTAAACAAGTTTTTTTTCCCACCCATTTTAACTATACAATTCAATGAATTTTGGTGCTTGCCAAGTCACCACCACAATCTAAATTTAGAACATTTCCATCACCCTGAAAACTCATGCTGTGTCCTCTTTTTCTCAGCGAAGTAGGTGAGACTGTCAGTACACTGAGTTGAGGGGGACACACTGGATATAGAAGAGTGATAAAAGTTGTCAATTTCAAGGTAGTGAGTCAGACTGAAATGGTATTCCAAGGAATGTTTGGTACCAGCTTCCCATCTCAAAGTGTTCATTTTGGCCTATTATGTTTAACAAAAAAGAAATCTTAAGACTTTCGATTGCATATGTTAAGTGTTTCTTAACTACCCTGTAGATAAAATCCAAACACATTACCTGACTCTTGCCCCTCTCTACCAATACAATAACTTGAGAAACTACTTTCTAATAAATTCAACTTATCCATTAAAGCAGCTGATTCCTAAATTCAATCTAATAACTCAGAGAAAACAAAATAATTCAGCTCTGCAAAACTGATTTCTCAAGAAACTGCTAAAATTGGAACCTTCTTCAAACTGGTATACTTTTCTCTGGAGTCTAAAATTAGCAGGCCTAACATGGCAATGCCAAAAGAATCCAGTACTTTAAAATTTTCCCAGTAAATTCAAATCTATCTCTTTAAAAGTTCTTCCTTCTTCTTTGACTCCATTTCTTTAATCAGTTTATTTAAACCATTACTTTATAGCTTATACACACATCTTATTATTTGAAGCTCTTGGGGATCTAATTTTGCCATCTGCTGCTTTAGTAAATTTGCATTCATGGTGGATTGGCTCCACCCATATTTTACAATTTTTTTCAGTTCATGTTTGGGGAGTCTAGTTGCAGGGGTCTTCTCTCTGCTGTGGCTTATACTGATGGCATGTCTTGCCTGAGAGGTTTTACATTTTCTTCTGCTTGGAACCAGAGAGGTCTTACTAGCCTGGAACCAGGTTTTATATTAATTTCTTGGCTGGGGGCTTCCTAGAACTTGCAGTAATATAAATTTGAGCCCCAAACCAACATGAAGGTAGCCCTGAGGTTAAGAATTCCCTGAATGACAGCCCCGCTCCCAACACACACCAACTTCCCAGAGACCAAGCTGCTTTTCTGTCTCCCTTTGCTGGTGGGCAGATTGTTTTCTAGTCTATCCTCTCACTGAGGGCATAGCCTTTCAGGGTCCCCGGCTTTATCTGGAGGTATCAGTTCCAATCCCCTACATGCTGGGAGCCAAAGGCCTCTTGGTAACGCAACTGGCAAATGTCCTTAGGGCAGCCTGCCTACTACATTCAGATTGCTTTCCTTCATTTACTCTGAAAAAGAATTTCCCTTTCTTTCTTTCTTTCTTTTTTTTTCCCCTCGAGACAGGGTCTCACTCTATTGCTTGGAGTAGAGTACAGTGTCATCACATCATAGCTCACTACAGCACTCAAATGCCTAGGTTCAAACAATCCTCCTGCCTCAGCCTCCCAAGCAGCTGGGACTACAGGCATGCGTCACCACACCTGGCTAATTTTTCTATTCTTTATAGAGATAGGGTCTTGCTATGTTGCTCAGATGTGTCTCCAACTCCTGGCCTCAAGTGATCCTCCCACCTTGGCCTCTCAGAGTGCTAGAATTACAAGCACGAGCCACTGTGCCCAGTCTCCCTTGCTTTCTGGAGAGCTGAACTATGCATTTTTAAAAAGGTTTTTATTATAGATGTTTTATAGTGGGAAAATTTAGGGGGTTGTTTAGCCTGCCATGCTGTCTTAAACAGAGGTCCTTCCACCCAATTCAATGTAGGATGAAACAATCTCAAACCTTGACTATCTTAAATAGGCATTAGCTTCAACCTTACTCCAAGTCTCACACTTTGATCACTAAAACTGAGCAGGGTGGGGGCTGCGAATGGGTCTGAAAGGGAGTGTATATAAATGACTAGGTATCTGACTCCTGCAAGTGATGAAGCCAACTATTAAGTCATGTTCTTGGCCACATGACGTTATGGAACATCTATACTACTCTTTTCCATCACCACTCCCCAAGTTTTGCTGCAGCTGTATCTATATGTGCACGTACACACACACACATACATGTTTTACCATGGCCAGTGACCTTGCCTGAACCCTCTAAATGCTTAAAATGCTTAAAATTGAACTAATATCCATACCAAAAATCACTGAAGTAAATCAAAATTATAAAGAGGTATACATAGAGTAGCCCAGAAAATGAGAAGACCCCCCCAAAGACAGTGTCCCTCCAGAAAAGCAGAGTCCACAGGATGAGAAAGCCACACTGCTCCCTCACATTAGCTTCTGATATCTCCTTGTATATACCAGTATTTGAATTATCTTATTGGCTTTGACAGATTTACTTTTATCCCTAACTCAGATTCTTGCATTATCTGATTACAGCCCCAAAGAACTGAGTATCACTGGCAAAACACACATACATACCTATATGAATAATAAACCTATGTTTTAACTGAAATTGTTTTTCAAATTTACTGACTTGCTCATTCATGTCACCCATAGGTGATATAGAATTTAGTTTTCTAATAAAAAGTTAATTTTATAGTTTTAATGCAGGATCTAAAAATATACTCACTGTTTGTTTTGTCTCGAGGATAGTCCTTGTCTTCCTCACAAGGGATGTGTCAAATGACTTGACAGTCACTAACTCTACCACTGCATTTCCACCATAAAGATTGTACATGTCATCTGCAAACTGAAAGTTAGTTATGAACATTATTATAAATCTCAAACACATATTTTAATTTTTAATTTTTTAATCAACCAATGAAAACTGTCTGTACTGTGTACAACATATTCTGAAATATGTATACATTGTGGAATAGCAAAATCCACACTAATTAACATATGCGTTACCTCACTAATTTTTTGTGACGAGTTAAATACATGTTAAAATTATTTGTAAAGCTTTGGTGCAGCTACGAGAACATACACTATGTCTCAAAATAGGCAAGTCTTAAAGGTTTATGTTCAGAAAAGTGTTAAGCTTTAACATATATTCAAATATTTAAAATACAATTACTTTAAGAAGAGACTGAATTTATCAGCACATAAATTGGGGGAAGGGAAGTTGGAAAGAAAAATGAAGAAATAATCACAAATCTCTACAAAGATTTACATATGAGGCCTCACTGAAGAGTGGCAGGTGAACAACTTCAAGGGCAGAGGAGAACAAGCATTTATTATGCATCTACTAAATGTCTGGTACTGTATTTGGTGTGGTACTTCAATTATCTCATAGTGTTTAATGGGTACAGAGTTTCAGTTTGGGAAGATGAAAAAGTTCTACAGAAGAGTGATGGTGATGGTTGCATAACATGTGAACTTAATTCCACTGAACTATACACTTAAAAATGGTTAATTTAATGTTATATATATATTTTACCATAATAATAACAAAAAATACTGGGCTGGAGTTACCAATCCTGTCCTAATGCTGCCCCTCTCAGCATTAGAAAGAAATATCCCAATATACACCTTTGACCATAATTAGAAGACCCTCAAAGAAGGCAAGCAAGACTTTAACCAACATTTCCCAAAGCAGAATTTTCCATTAAGAGGCTGTAAGTGAAATGGTCATACTCCAATCTCTCATATTACATGGATATTTACCTTTTGCAGAGCATCAACAAGGATCTTAGAAGCATCTCTGAATTGCTCAGAGTCTTCCCCATAACGTTTCCCAATTTCATCTAAACCTGCTAGCTCCAGTGAATATAAATCAGGAGAATGATCCTTGGCTAGATGCTTATGACGAGACAACTTTGGAGAACAAACAAACAAAACGTAGTGGATAAAGTAAGATGTCAAACACAGCCAGTTTAAGTTTTATGCCTAACTAAACTCGGCTAAACGTAACTATACGAATGTGCCACAACATATAGTCTAAAATGGTGGCAAATGGAACTAGTTTAAATGGGAATTTCTAATAAAACTAATCCAACACAAATCTTATTTTTAGGAGCAGTACAGGACTCACTGAATATTTGATAAAAGCTCTTAACAAAATTCCTTAATTTTAAAAACTCACGTATAGGCCATGGTATGAAAGAACCGGTTTGATCCCAGGAATACATGGGCCATCAGTGGTCAGAGAGTAGATACCTCCCACATGTCCTCCCAGACCACCTTGCAGGCCCCCCTATACTTCCAGACTCCCCAAATCAATTCCTGCTGAAAAAGTTTGTGAAACAACTTCAGAAGACAGAAAAGAGGTGAGACTTTCTATTTCAGTCACAAGAATGATTTTTTAACATATTAACTGCCACATGAGTTGTCTTTAACGTATACTAGTTTTGAGCCCAGGGCCTTGTGAAGCTCATGTAAACCACACATCTCTACCTTGGGAGCCACATGAATTATTTTTCAAGTTGCATATAACTCTATAACTGACACATAGAAAACAACAAAAAATAATAAATTTTTATTCTATTTTCATAATAAAACACTGTGGCCCCAAGGAAAAAACTTTTTTTTTTCTGGTGTGGCAGCTGTGTTAAAAATCATTCACAAAAAAAATACCTTTCAGACAGATTTATTCCCTTCTTGACTTGGCTGATAGTATTATTAGTCCAAACTATTATTTCTATTTTACACCCCAAGATATAGATATAGAAATTAGGTCTTAATATCTGACAAGAAATCAACAGCCAGGTGAGGACTATATCCAGGGTGTTCTTATTCCCAGGCCTTTGTTCTTAGAGGATATACTATCTCTCCAAAAAGTAGAAACGTAAACTAATTTGACTGTGAGATGTGTTTAAAATTCCCAACACCACCATTAATTTCTTAGTTTTCATGGGATCATAAATCTAGGGCATATTTAATCAAACTATTCAACTGGCTTCACTACCATCCAAGGATTTTCTAGAAAGCAAAATAAACGGAACTGAAAAATTAGAGCATTCTACTTACCAAACTTGAAATATCATGTAGTACTTGCAGTTCAGAAAGAAAGAGCAGATCAACCTTCAAAGAGCCAAAAGAGGTGAGCATTCTTTTATATGTGCATCAGAGATCTGTATTTGCCATTTACCAAGTAAAGGACAGGATATTACAAATGTCAATCACATAAGTGAATTTATATAATTTTCCTTCATTTGGTAGGTTCACTTCAATTGAAAATGCATATAACAGCTGGGCACGGTGGCTCACGCCTATAATCCTAGCACTCTGGGAGGCCGAGGCGGCGGATTGCTCGAGGTCAGGAGTTCAAAACCAACCTGAGCAAGAGCAAGACCCTGTCTCTACTATAAATAGAAAGAAATTAATTGGCCAACTAATATATATAGAGAAAAAATTAGCCAGGTATGGTGGCATATGCCTGTAGTCCCAGCTACTTGGGAGGCTGAAGCAGGAGGATTGCTTGAGCCCAGGAGTTTGAGGTTGCTGTGAGCTAGGCTGATGCCATGGCACTCACTCTAGCCTGGGCAGCAAAGTGAGACTCTGTCTCAAAAAAGAAAATGCATATAACACATTGTTTCCTAGCAAAAAGGTGATGGACATTCCCTACCATAGCGACTAACACTAAATAGCTGTATTTTTGATAAAACCATGATAAAGGCTGGGTACAGTGGCTCATGCCTGTAATCCTAGCACTCTGGGAGGCTGAGGCGGGCAGATTGCTCGAGGTCAGGAGTTCGAAACCAGCCTGAGCAAGAGCGAGACCCTGTCTCTACGAAAAATAGAAAAAAATTAGCCGGGCTAATTTTTTAGTCCATGCCTGTAGTCCCAGGAGGCTGAGGCAGGAGGATTGCTGAGTCCAGGAGTTTGAGGTTGCTATGAGCTAGGCTGACACCATAGCACTCGCCTGGGCAACAGAGTGAGACCCTATCTCAAAAAAAAAAAAAAAAAAAAAAAAAAAAAAAAACAGAAAAAACCCCATGATAAAGCATCCCTTAAGGCACGAGGATATCCTAGCACAATGCAATGAGATCCTGCCAATGGCCCAGTTTGCTCACTTCTCTTGAACACCTTACATATAGGAGAATAAAGATAGTGGTCCTAATCATCCATATCAGATAAAGACTGGTGAGACTGTCACTAAGGTGGCGTGTCATGTGGTTAACAGGGTGCATGGGCAGGTGGTGAAGCTGAAAGACAAGAGTCTAAAGGACAGGAGCCATTGGGCACAGTGGCTCACCCTGTAATCACAGTACTTTGGGAGGCCAAGGTGGGAGGATCACTTGAGGCCAGGAATTCAAGACCTGCCTAGGCAATATAACAAGACTCCATCTCTACAAAAAATTTTAAAAATTATGCCGGGAGCAGTGTCTCACGCCTGTAATCCTAGCACTCTGGGAGGCTGAGGTGGGTGGACTGCTCAAGGTCAGGAGTTCAAAACCAGCCTGAGCAAGAGCGAGACCCCGTCTCTACTAAAAACAGAAAGAAATTAATTGGCCAACTAATATATATAGGAAAAAAAAAATTAGCTGGGCATGGTGGTGCATGCCTGTAGTCCCAGCTACTCGGGAGGCTGAGGCAGCAGGATTGCTTGAGCCCAGGAGTTTGAGGTTGCTGTGAGCTAGGCTGATGCCACGGCACTCACTCCAGCCTGGGCAACAAAGCGAGACTCTGTTTTAAAAAAAAAAAAAAAAATTAGCCAGGCATGGTGGCATGTACCTGTAGTCCCAGCTACTCAGGAGGCTGAGGTAGGAGAATCACTTAAGCCCAGGAGTTTGAGGCTGCAGTGAGCTATGATAACGTCACTGCACTCCAGCCTGTGAGGAGTGAGACCCTGTCTCTTTAAAAAAAAAAAGAAAGAAAGAAAAAAGTAGGGGTGACTCCCTCCACTGTAGTATCTAGGGATGAATGAGAAAAATGTGGCAACATGACAGCAGGGGCAGTGAACAATGGCTCCTACGTTATCAGATCTACACAGTTCCACCAAGTAGACGCTGTGATTTCTAGCCTGATTGATAGGTTGCAATCCTCATACAAGAACGTGATACTATTTACCACAGCTCAACTCACAAAAAGAATCCATTTACTCATGCAATTCATAAGAAAATTACACTAAAGGAAAGAAGAATCTAATCCAGCAGTAAATCTGCAATAGTTTTCATTTTCTAAAATTTCAAAATTTCTAAGATTTCAAGTAGCATAAAGAGTGGGACATTAACAATTTTCATTTATTCATTCAATAATTGCACTACTTACTTCATTGTTCCTACTCAGAGAATTGAGGGGAAGTGAATTGAGAACGGAGTTTTCTTGAAACAGGCGATTACGGAGCTGTCGTAATGTGACTGAAAGGTCTTCAAAAACTGAGTTTGCCTTCCCTACCATATACACTCTCTGTAAGAAGAGAGTAATTTTAAGTTACTCACATTCTGCAGATTAATTCCAATACACAGAGGTCTGACAGCATTTCTCATAAAATTAGTTTTACGTTTTCACAGCAAAATTATATTTCATAATAAATTTTCAAATTATGAAAGTTTTTAAAGTATCTTAAGTAAAAACTTTATCACTTACTTCCTCACTGGGAGCCAACTGCAAAACTACAGGAGTTTCCTCAGAAAATAAGGAGTGAATGGAATTCGCAACACTGTCAAGACTAAAAGGAACTGCCTGAAATTTAACAGTAAGATCACAATTATTATCTGAACCAAAGTGGGAAGAAAAATCATCCAGATGGCATTTTAAAAGGAGCCTAAAAGCAAAAAAGGCACCATCATTTTCTATGAAAATTTAGAAGTTCCAAATCATTTCCAAACACAAAGAGCCCTTTTGAGGGAACAGAAGATTAAGCATCCCCCACTGGGCTGAGACTGCATTTCCCAATGTGCCTAAGTGCGAAGTAACTTGCAAACCTGAAGGACACAGCATTATCTAGCACAAACCATTTTCTGGTGGTCATTTGTGTATTGTAAGTGGCAATACATTTGGTTTCCATATTAACTAAACGTGCCATAATAAATGTATATTCCACAATAAAGTATTTATTCATACTAGCATTTAAGAGGTTAGAGGAATCTAAAACATTAAATTTATTCGAAAGAGAAATAGATCTCATTTTTCATTTCAAAATTTTAAAAATGTTTAATAAGATTTAGCATTTATCTTCAGATAGACTGTAGACTCTCAGGCACTAAATATGTCACAAGATTTTTAAAGTCTTTCTCTTAGGATCACATAAGGATATTATTAGATTGGAATAACCAATTGTAGTAAGACCTACTTTTTTCCTTGAATTTTGTATTAAAGTATAACATACATATAATATAGTGCACATATCTTAGGGTAACAGCTCAACAAATGTTCAGAGATGGATGCACTCATGTAACCTAGCCAGATCAAGACACAGAACATCATCATCACCCTTGTAAGTACCACCTCCACCCTCAAGGGTAACCAAAATTCTGACTTCTATCCCTATAGATTTGTTTTGCTCATTATTTTTAAAAGTAAGTTATGATAATTTCCCCCCAAAATTATTTTATTCCCTATATTACTGTGTTAAAACAAGCAGTACAGTAGTGTTTTTGTTTTAATGGCAATTTCTTACAGTGATTTTTTTTTTCAGTAGTTACCTTACTCCTTCAAGGTTTATGTTTGTAATTAGCAAATTAATGCTAATGTGGTACAGGCAGAAATCAATGTGATTATATAAATCTTACTGATGAAATCCCAGCGTCAAAATTAAGTGATCAATTTGATGATACTGTGAAATGAAATCAATTTTTTCTCTTACTCAAGATGTATATTAACTCTTCTCAAAATTCTCTTAAAATGAGTTAATGAGTAAGCGAAGAGGGGGGAAGAGAGTTCAGACTTGCAAAAGCATACTGTCAGCAGCCTCCCTGAGTCAGCTACAAGTGCTTTCCTTTTGCGATCCCATGGTTCACCTCCTCAGGATCTAGAGGGAATACACGACGAAGTCACAAAAACTCTCCAGCCTCACTGCACCTAGGGAAATGGCACCTGGGTCAGGAAAGTTGATGATTAAAGGTAACATGTCACCGGGCACGGTGGCTCACGCCAGTAATCCTAGCACTCTGGGAGGCCGAGGCGGGCTCTAGGGCAGGAGTTCGAAACCAGCCTGAGCAAGAGCGAGACCCTGTCTCTATGAAAAATAGAAAGAAATTAATTGGCCAACTAATATATATAGGGAAAAAAAATTAGCCAGGCATGGTGGCACATGCCTGTAGTCCCAGCTACTCGGGAGGCTGAGGCAGCAGGATTGCTTGAGCCCAGGAGTTGGAGAGTTGGAGGTTGCTGTGAGCTAGGCTGATGCCATGACACTCAGTCTAGCCTGGGCAACAAAGTGAGACACTGTCTCAAAAAAAAAAAAAAAAAAAAGTAACATGTCCCTAGTAATCAAATTAGAGAAGCTAATGAGTCAGATGAGTGCCAGACTGTGAAGGAAAAGATACAGACAACTAAGCTCAAAAGGTAAAAAGTTCGGCTGCTTGAAAACAAATGATTGTTTTTTCCCACTGTATATTATTCATATAAGGATATGCATGTCTGTCCTGGAATTTCTGTATCTATATGACTTGAGATTCTAATTAAAACAGCTGGCCAATCAAATGGAAGCTTCATTAAGTAGAATTCTAAGACATTCTGATTTTTCTATTTTGTGGGGTTTATCCTCTGAGCCTTACATCTCATTTACCATCTTCTGCCAGGAAAAGTATTATGAGCAGCCAATCAGGGTCAAGCAATAAAATGAGCTCTTTTCACAATTTCTCCTCACGTAAAATGAGGTTAGTCTGTTTTAAAATGTTTACTTTTGGATTATATGCTAATAATAAAAACCCTGGAATGGCATTTTGGTTTATATATTTAAAGGAAATCTACAATGATTTTCACAGAAATCACATAATAAACTACTTAAATACTCCTTGTGAAAACAATCTGCCTTTTGATCTTTACTGTTCCCTTCCTCCCACTTTATGGGCATTTACTCTGAAATTCTTCTGGTTTCTTTAGCTCACTGATTTCCAATCTTAGATAATATGAATTGTCTAACATGCGTATTAAAGGCTATAAACTTCCCTTTTCTTACCACATTAGCTGCACCTCACAATTTTTTTTATATATGGTACATTGTTTTTCAGTTCCAAATAATTTAGAAATTTCCACAGTGATTTCCTCCTCAAATCACAAGTTTAAGAATACATTTATTCCAACTATCTTTTCTTGATTTTTTAAAAAATTAATTTTAAGAGTCAGATATATACATGGTTTAAAGAAACAAATAGTTCTATAAGACATTTTATGAAAAATAAGTTTGCCCCTCCCCTCATTTCCCATTCCTCTGAGGCACTCACTTTCAAATCCTTTATTTCCTTTTTTTACCACCATTTCTAAATAAGATGCTTAAATTACTACATCTTGATTTTTTTCAATTTTAGGCATTATCTATTTACCATCGTTATAGAAAATGAGCATTTAGTTCTCTCGCATCACCAACCACATCTCCATCCACTGCCCCATATATGCATTGTTTCCATCTCTCTACCCTCCCAATGTTTACATCAGAATTTTCACTGCATCAGGATCGTTTCATTACTATGACTACGTAAATAATATTCTCAGCCTAGCCTCATACTATACAATCACTGCTTTTCCTTTCTTTGCTCTTCTGGTCCATGATGGCAGTGATAAGAAATCTGCTTTCATTCTACTCTCATTCCTTTGAAATGACAATGTCTTTTCTCCCTGATAGCTTTTAAGATTTTCCATTTCCTTGATGATTCTTCAATTTTGCTATATCTAGGTGTTGATTTGGCTTTAGCCTACTGGATGATGTTCAATATGCTTTAAATCTGAAGAGTCATATCTTTTGTTTGTTTTTGCCATTTGCAAATACTTTTTATTTTTAACTGACAAATAACAATTGTATATATTTGGGGGGTACAATGTGATGTTTTGATATATATTTACAGTTTTGATATATGTTTACAATGTGGAATGATTGAATCAGGCTAATTAACAAATTTGTTACCTCACATACTCATCTTTTTGTGGTGAAAACATTTAAAATCCACTCATTTAGCAATTTTGAAATATACAATGCATTATTTATTATAGTCACTAACCTACGCAATATATCACTAAAGTATGATTCAGCAATCCCACTTCTGGGGATATATCCAAAGGAACTGAAATCAGTATGCTGCACTCTCATGTTTGCTGCAGCACCGTTCACAATAGCTAAGATATGGACGCAATGTAGGTGTCCATCATCAGATGAATGGGTAAAGAAAATGTGGTATATATGCACAATGAAATGCTATTCAGCCTTAAAAGGGGGTAAATCCTGTCATTTGTTAACATGGATAAACCTGGAGGACATTATGCTATGTGAAAATAAGCCAGACACAGAAGGACAAATACTGCATGACCTCACTTATAAGTTGAACTCATAGAAGTAGAGAGTAGAATGATGGTCAACAGAGGCTAGGGAAGAGGGGTGGATGGGAAAAGGGGAGATGTTGATCCACATACATTCTTAAGGTATTGTTTATTATTATTTTCAGATTTAACTGCATTGTGGTCAGAGAGGATAGTTTATATGATATTGATTTTTTACTGTTTGTTGAAATTTGCCTTGTGGTCTAATACATGGTCATTTTTTGTAAGCAGGCCATATGTGCTTGTAAATAATCTATACTAAACCACAGGAAAGTCTGAAAAAAATTTCCAGAAAATCAGCATCACACAGACCAGTCTTATAATGAAATTAGAAATCTAAAAATTAGAAATTATTTTTAAAAACCCATACATTTGGAAAAAACACTTCTAAATAACTCATGGGTTAAAGAATTACAATATAAATTATGAAATATTTAGAAGTAAATACCAACAAAAGCACCAAGTATCAAAAATGCCTTATAACTGCCTCATAGTTTCTATTCCTTCCTCTTTCACAATTTTAATGTATATATTTTAAACCTGCTTTGAGATTGTTCTATTATCTGTAGTTCCGGGAGGATGAATTCTGTTTGTTGCACCTGCTGACTTCCTCGGCACATTTTTTTTCCTTCAAGTGCTTTGTAAATTCTACTCATCTTCCATTTTTTTTTTTTTTTTTTTACCAAAGGAGCTCTGGGCTGTGGAGTTGTCCCTGTGGAGTGGGTCATGTGAATTTGGAACAAACCACCCTACACAACATAAGCCTTAATTCTGATTTCTCTCAGGGGACTGTTTGAGTCCCACAGCCAAGGGTGGCAAGCCAGTTCCTGTGCTATAACCCTGAGGCAGCTGGGGTTTTACTAGTCCTCTTCTCAAAAACAAGTTGACAGCATTTCATAGTCCCTGGCTTTGTGCAGGGAACACAATTTCAGTGTCAGCTCCTGCTCACCACTGTAGTTTCTGGGTTTTCTATTCATATCTGGCACCTGTGTGTGCCCCTTCCCCTTCAAGTTTAGTTATGCTAGTAAAATTGTTTTAGTAACATTTTATCCAGCACTTTTATATGCCTGCAGTAGAAGTAGGGCCTCTCACATCAGCTAAGTCACTCAGGTAGCCTGAAAGGCCAGTGAAGGAATAAGTGAGCCAGCAAATGCCTCCAGTCTTTTTATACACACAAAAAAAGAGGTAAAATTCTGAAGGGAAGGTGACAAGACAATGCCCAAGAGAATGTCAGCAGGATATATCCTCAATTGTTTTCTCTTTTGGTGGCTCTTTTTGGAGCCTCCAGCTATTCTGAGTGGGGCAATTTCTCTACCTCTTATCTTAGAAAGTACTCTCAATAAGTTTGCAATCACCAGGTAAGTTTTTAAAAAGAAATTGTGTTTTTAAAATATTTTCAAAAGAAATTGTACATCAAAAAAAGACAAGTGTGTGAAGAATGCAATTCGCAATGACAGCTAACAAGAGAAAATTAAAAATGTATCCCTTTATTTTATAATAAATACTCACATTCTCCAAGGGGTAAGAAATGACACTGCCTGGGGGTAGAGCCAGTTTGTCTACTCCCTTCACCATCACCATAACAGTAGCCCGAGGACGATGGAACAGGTTACCCACAGCAAGTCCTGGCCAAGAAAGGTCCTAAACATTGAAAAGCAGGAAATGGTGCTTAATTATCAAGTCAGGAAACTAACTCCCCAATAACATTTAACTAAGCAGAGTTAAGAGGTTCTGGGATGATTTTGCCAAGGAAAATTCACAGAGAATGTAAACATTTTATTTGTGGTATTTTAGTAGTTGCAATGTCCTATCAAGAATGCTGATTTGGCTGGGCACGGTGGCTCATGCCTGTAATCCTAGCCCTCTGGGAGGCCAAGGCGGGAGGATCCCTCGAGGGGAGTTTGAGAATTCCAGACCAGCCTGAGCAAGAGCAAGACCAAGACCACGTCTCTACTAAAAAAATAGAAAGAAATTATCTGGACAACTAAAAAATATATATATATAAAATTAGATGGGCATGGTGGCACATGCCTGTAGCCCCAGCTACTTGGGAGGCTGAGGCAGAAGGATCACTTGAACCCAGGAGTTTGAGGTTGCTGTGAGCTAGGCTGACCCACAGCACTCACTCTAGCCTGGGCAACAAAGAAGCGAGACTTTGTCTCAAAAAAAAAAAAAAAAAAAAAAGAGGAATGCTGATTTCTACTCTCCTCACTTTCTTTAAATTCTACAGATTTGAAACAAAGTCTAATAGTAAGTCATCTCAAACCTTTTGTGGGAAAATGCAGGCAAGCACACAAAACATAGGTAGGTTTCAAATTCCAGAATGCAAAAAATTTTCTCTTCATTTAGTCATTAACATTTTCTTCCCCCACATTTTTTACCCTTATATACAGACAGCATCACTTTTATCTTTCACAGGGACACAGTAAGACTGTCATTAACATTTCTCTTTAGACTAAGCTCTTTATAAATAAAATAATTCCTGCTGAAAGTAACTCATATTAGTTTACTAATAATTATTTCTCTAGGTTAACAGTCATTTGTAGTCAAATTTAAGGTTGGAAAGAACTAGGTACAAATTTTATCCTTAAATGTAAACAAATAATCACGTTTTCACTTTGGTTGCCTAAAGACTGCAAAGAGCTTAGGGGCTCTACCCTTAGGCCTGGCAGCAAAGCAGTTCCAATACAGAGGTTCTGGTTTTAAGGGCGATCAGGATTGATGACATTTAAAGACTACATCAAAGGCACCAAATTTACAAAGTGGAAGGAGATAATGATAGCAAGACAGAGCAAGCTGCATTTCCTTTCTTCTAAGCCCTTAGCTTCAGATCTCTTGTACTGAGATCTAGGCCCCTTCCACTATAACAGATTATAACTTAATTCTATGAAACCAAGATCCTCGGCTGCTCCTCCTTTTCAGGTCACTGACCACACTATTTTTCTTTTTTTTTTTTTTTTTTTTTTTTTTGAGACAGAGTCTCGCTTTGTTGCCCAGGCTAGAGTGAGTGCCGTGGCGTCAGCCTAGCTCACAGCAACCTCAAACTCCTGGGCTCGAGTGATCCTTCTGCCTCAGCCTCCCGGGTAGCTGGGACTACAGGCATGCGCCACCACGCCCGGCTAATTTTTTATATATATATCAGTTGGCCAATTAATTTCTTTCTATTTATAGTAGAGACGGGGTCTCGCTCTTGCTCAGGCTGGTTTCGAACTCCTGACCTTGAGCAATCCGCCAGCCTCGGCCTCCCAAGAGCTAGGATTACAGGCGTGAGCCACAGCGCCCAGCCCCACACTATTTTTCTAACCTCAGGCAAGATGCATATACATTTTATCATTCATAGCAAATCTATCATCTGTACTAAAAAAAATTATACATCCTATTAATAGTAGGAAAGATGCATTCTCTTATATACAAAAAATTCATTACTATGAATAATTACATAAGTAATGATTTATCCAAAATCTTCCCAACTACAAAAAGCTTTATACTTTTGTAATCTCTACCAAATGTATCTTATGTTTGTTGCTTTCTTGGGCTATTAGCAGAAATCAACAAAAATGTTCTTAGAAGCAGCTCCAAATATTTTTTTAAAAATTACACATACTTCTTTCACAGAGAAGCCCATGGACAATGCAGCCACATCTGGGATTCGCTCTCCTGGTATAGGCCAATTTCCATTTCGGAAAACAACGGACCCTGGTGATCTTAGTATACTAAACTCATTCCCCAAAACACCTGAGAAGAAAACAGATTAGTAAATGAATTATCAACATCATAATCTTTTATACCCACCTTGACGATTATTAAATATGTAAACTAAAATAAAATCTTAAGGCTCACCCCCCACTGAATGGACCCTCTCTTGGCCAAAACTAAATTACCTGCCATGAGGAGGGAGGTCAGACATGCCTCATCATGCCCCGCTCCCTTCTTGGGGACATCCTTTGTAACCCATTAACAGGCCGGAGGGTATGCAAGACAAACCTGTAGGTCCTCAATGTATACAACAAATATTTGTCCGGTGGCTTGTCTCTGATTAATAGCTCCTTATGTTAAACATTCCAAGCCTTTAGACAAAGATTCATATCTTTAACCAATTACAAGTCAAAGAATCTTTAAACCCATCTGTAAGACCCACCCCCAGATGTCCCACCTTTTCAGGTCAAACCAATGTATGCCTCCCACATATTGATTTATGACTTTACCTGTAACTCCAGTCTCCCTGAAATGTATAAAACCAGACTGTAACCCAATCACAGCGAGTCCACTTCCTAGGCATGGCTCCAGGTCATGATCCTCAAATTTGGCTCAGAATAAATCTCTTTAAAATTATTTTACAGAGTTTGGCTTTTTTCCCATTGACAAATATAATACATGTTCCCCCAAACTCCACTGACTTAACATACTAAATTATGATTGGGCAAAATTCTGAATCCTAAACATTAACAAATTATTTTTCAAAGTATCACTATAAGAACTTAAGTCCATACATTCTGCTGGAACAAAAGTACAACTATAAGGATTATTTTAATGATACAGACGCCTTTCTGCAGTGGCCCTTAACGTGGGCATGTGGCAATTTGTAAAGAATTAGAAATCAGTGACATTTCTCCGAAATTTAAAAAGCAAAAAACAAAACCCTGGTACAGGCTAAAAAGGAAAAAAATAAACTTAAATTTACTAAATTATTGATACCATCAACCCTCTCTACAAAAATGCAAATTCATAAAGTTCCTAGTATTTCACTATAAGACTTTAGCAGGTCAGTATATCTTAGCATAGGTCGCATCTTTCCTTAATGTCCCATAGGCAAACCTACTGAAATGAGGACTGTCAAATAGGGAATTACACATTATCAGTGGAAATATAAAAACACTTTATATTTTACAAAGTCCAGGAAATAGTATTTGCAGTTGACATATCAAAAGGGTGAGAAAAGGTATTCTATAAGGATAAAGTCAATTAGTCTAAGGGTTTGGGGACTGGGATTAAAAGATGAAGGATGAGAATAATGGGACTATTTTATAAGCCCTCCAGGGCTAAGAATGAGATATTTTGCCTTTTCACCCATTATGTATTAACCCAGTGATGTCTAGGTTATACAGGGACAAGTAATTAATGAAAACTTTTGGGTTCCATGAAAAGATTAGCTCCAAGTCCAAAACAAATCTTGGCCATACCTAGTATGGGAAAATTAGACTTTAGTAAAGCATCAGTGTTATTCTCTTGACCTAAGGAAAGTACCACTTACAGGGTATGGAAATAAAATTGGAAGCAAGAGTAAATGTTTTGGTGTTGCAGTATTGACAGTAAATAAAAGGCCTCAGGATGGTGCTGATACAACAGGGAGAGTTATGAGTTTCAATTCAGCACAGCTGCCAGAGCAGGAACTTCCAAATTGTACTAGCTGAAGGCAGATAAAAAAAATCAGCAGATCGGAATGGTCTTTTGCAATTGATAAACATCTTGGTTCGCTGAAGAGGTAGTCTTTGTAAACTCTAAGAAAAATGGGGCACCAAGAGACCTATACTTTCCAAATACCATACACATTTAAAGAACCGTATTTTGGGCCAGGCATAGTGGCTCATGCCTGTAATCCTAGCACTTTGGGATGTTGAGGCGGGAGGATTGCTTGATGGTGGGGCACTCCTGTAGACAGGAGGCTGAGATGGGAGGATCTATTGAGCCCAGGAGATTGAGATTGCAGTGAACTATAATGATGCTACTGAACTCCAACCTGGGCCACAGAGTGAGACCCTGTTTTAAAAAAAAAAAAAAAAAAAAACATATTTTGATCTGGAGATATCCTTGTTTTGAGACATGGCCCTACTCACTCAATCCCAGCAAAGCTATACCAAATAACTTTGCCTCAACTTCATAGTTAGATTCAACTTCCATGCCTGCACAACAGTCCTTCAGGAGCTTAGAGCTTTAGAAAACCCTAGAGTCATGGACTTGTATACCAAAAAAGGTCATCTTGTCCAAACTTCTGCTTACTGTAGGTATCATGCCTCAGGGATACCTGGCAGAAAGTCACTGTCCTCTACCTGAATACTACCAATGATGAGGGGACACCACCTCATTTTACAAACACTATGTTTGTCAGCAATCAGCTTCATTGTTCCAACATTCTAGTTCTTTGACAAATTTTTCTTGTACTGAATTGAAATGGGTTTCCTCACTTTCAAGTTCCTATGCTATCACTCCCCACTCAGTCTCCCCATATAACCTCATCTCCAGCTTCACAGAGAAAGCAGAGGAATTCTTCGAACTACTGCTTCCTCTCCCCACCACAAATATATCTGGTACAAGCCACTACCAGGATCTCCTCTCCCTCCAGACATGAGTGCAAGGATGTGTCCCTCCTCCAGCCTAAGACCATCCTATGTTCAGCCTTCTTAGAACCTTCATTCATTCACTGTTTATTAATCCACTATTCCAGGACAGACAACATATGAGGAGTTAGGGCTGAGAACAGTGCCTGACACATTGGTGCTAAATAAATCCTTGTTGAGTTAATGAATGAATGAAGTCACACCTTGAACTACCAATTTTCCCCTTTCAATTAATTGGCCCTTTCACTTCACCATAAAAATACGATTGTGGTATTCCCATTCTAAAATTAAAAGGCTTCCTTTGGTCCTAACTGTCTCCACCAGCTACCAGCCTCTGCTTCCCTTCAGAGGAAGAATCTGGGAAGGGTAGTCAACCGCCATTTGCTTCTCTACTTCTTCATATCTCATTTACTACCTAAGCCACAGCTTCTCACCCCACCATGCCACTGAAACAACTCACCAAATCCAAAAGACAATTTTCAGCCCTTAATTTATTTAACTTCCCAAATAGTAGTAGTAGTAGTAGTCGTCTTCACAATCTAATCATGAGAAAACACCAGACAAACCCAAACTGAGGGTCATTCTACAAAATATCTGACCATTACTATTTTTAAAAAGATGAAATTCAGGTTGGGCACGGTGGCTCACGCCTGTAATCCTAGCACTCTGGGAGGCCAAGGCGGGAGGATCCCTTGAGGGGAGTTTGAGAATTCCAGACCAGCCTGAGCAAGAGCAAGACCCCGTCTCTACGAAAAATAGAAAGAAATTAATTGGCCAACTAATATATATATATATATATATATAAAATTAGCCGGGCATGGTGGCACATGCCTGTAGTCCCAGCTACTCAGGAGGCTGAGGCAATAGGATCACTTGAGCCCAGGAGTTTGAGGTTGCTGTGAGCTAGGCTGACGCCACGGCACTCACTCTAGCCTGGACAACAAAGCGAGACTCTGTCTCAAAAAAAATAATAAAAATAAATAAAAAGATGAAATTCAAAAGTAGATATAGAGCCAGGTGCGGTGGTACGTGCCTACAATTCCAGCTACTTGGGAGGGTGAGGTGGGAGGATCAGCCTGAGGATGAGGCTTGAGGCCAGGTGTATGAGACTAGCCTGGACAACACAGCTAGATCCCGTCTCAAAAAAAAATAGATACAAATGGAAGTTCTAGTCATCCTCCTGGCATCCAAACAGATAACCTTGCATACTCCACTTTGGAGATCTGAGGGCTCCATTCTTGACCCTCACTGCTTTTCCAGTCTACATCTCTTTCCCTGGTTGACTACGTCTAGTTTAAGACTGCAAACACCAAAAACACACTGATGGCTCCCAGATTTTTATTTCCAGCCTAGATTTCCCTTGAGCCTTAGACCTACATACCCAACAGTTGGCTGAGTATTTCCTACTAAGTCCCATGGGTCCTTCAAACCCAACAGGTTCAAAACTGAATTCACCATCTTTCCACATACTTCTCCTGTATTCTTGATTTTAAAGGATGACACCACTTCCCACCTGGCAGCTCAAACCAGCCATCTTTAAATCCTTCCTCGGCACCACAGCCAATTACCCAATGAATCTGTTGATCTTTTTTATTATTATCTCACAAATCCTTTCCCTTCTATGTCCAGTACACACTCTTCGGCCCTCACCACATTTGCTAGAACTGGCTGCCTTATGAACCCTGTCATGCCAATCTCTGATCCTGCCTTCGCATCACTTTTTCAAAATACAGCTCGGTTCACTCATCCTTCTGCTTAAATGCCTCACTCACTGCCCAGAGCCTTCCAGGCAAAATCCAAAACATAACACCCAAGGCACCTCACTACCCTTATTTCTGAGATCTCCTCAACTTAACCCCTATACATTCCAGCCCCACCAAACTATTTGCCCCTTTGCTCTCACATCTCCGTGTTTTTACACATGCTGTTCTGTCTCAAATGCCTTTGTTTCCCACCTCAACCTTTCACATATTTGCCCTGGGAGGCACCTCCCCTGGGGAAATTTCCCTCAGCCTCCCGGTCTGGGGTAGAGGGTAAGTGTCCTTCCCTCTGGGAACTCCACATTGTGCTATGATCTTCTATGAGGGGTGGATGGAATCACTCAACTGAAAAAATAAAAAACACAGTAGGTCCCGCTTTTGTCTTTGGGGGCATCAGTGCCCAATCAAGTACCTGTTCTACATGATATCCCTTCAAATTCCATGTGTTTGCCCTTGGCCTTTCCTCTTCAGGCTCAATGTCTGAATTTCTTCGTGTACTCCTCATCACATAGTATTCGTAACCGTAGTTCCCCTCCTTTCTCTCTAGTTCCCTCATTCTCTCTTTAGTTTGGTAACACTGTTTTAAAGGATTACTATTTTTTCCTCAAATAGAGAAGTCAGACCTCTTAAAGATGTCTTCCATTACATCACATTTAGTCATTGTGGAAAATAATAACTTAACCTGATCTGACAAGACCAAGCAACGCAGAAGCTGACAGGATCAGATTCTCGTTCTGTAGGAACTAGATTATTCTAGCAAGGAAAGCATGTTCAAACCATGTACAGAAGCAAATGTTTTACCTCAGACCAAAAACAAACAAAAAACCTCAATGAATCAAAATATTATCAGTCATAACATTAAAACATGGACATCTCATAGACAGATGTTCGGTTAAACCACAGTATCAAAGGGAAGATTTTGTAAATTTCAAAAACTGAATTAAAATTAAAAATTTCCCCAAAGTATCTGGGTAGATCAGAATGACCTTTCTAGGGCCAGAAACAAACAAACAAAACAAAGAACCCTAAAACTTTGGGGACATGAAAACAAATTTAACTATCATCAACACACAATACTGGGGACCTCCAGGGATGGAGGAGATCTGCCAATTTCAAGAACATCACTGGTCTGTATTTGTACCTTATGCAGAAGGAAGTCACCATTTCAAAAGCAGAACCCCCCAGCACCTCACAGGGCAGAGTCTCAGGTTTCCCATAGGTTTTCAACTGACGTGGTGGGGACGACAACACCCAAATTGTTCACTACTGTCTGTGCCCCCAGTAGCAGTCCCCATCACTCCAACGTCCTCCTCACACAGTACAAGTGTTAACCCTGCTACAACACCTAAAATGGAAAAGGCCCACGCTTTCGCGCCACTGATCTGGGTTCAAATCCATCTTTGCTACTTACTTACTACCTGTTTGGTGTTGGGTAATTTATTTAGGCTTGTTCACTTTTCTAAATGAAGATGATATTCTATTCTCTTCTAAGGATTGCTGTAAAATGAAATGCATTACCACATGATACACAGTAAGAAGCCAAACATTAGCTGACTTCCACTCCTCTTGCTGAATGCTAGGGAACCTAGGTTCCACTTAGAAAGCTACTATTTACTGACATGTGACCCTAAGGTCATGACTCATCCTAGTTTCCAAATCCTTAAAATTGGGAAGTGAGACAAACTATTGAGAGGTGCTTTGTATTCGCCTGAAGAAATAATTACATAAAAACAATGTCTCCATCTCAACTTTGCATCCTGAAATACATATAAGGGAGAAGGGATTTCACCAATTATTGATGGCAACAACTACACATGAAGACACCATACAAATGCAAAAAATCGCGGCAGCCAGTGGCAGCTAAGAAGGCTGCCTTCTCTTCTTCCCAGAGGTCTGCAGTTCAACACTTCATTGAGAAATGCACCCCGGTCCTCCGAAGGGCCTCTTGAGCCGGAAGAGGCCAGGCCGACGAGAGGTCGGCGGCACGGCTGGCGAACCAGTCTTCCTCAAAGAGGCGGAGGGTGGTGGAGGCCAGCCCAGGAGCCCCCCCCCCCAACACAGCCCAGCCCCGGGCCCAGCGCAGCCACAGGCTAACCCGCGCAGCCACAGGCTAATCCGGAGAAGACACCGAGAGGGAGGCACCGAGAGGGAGGCAGCCGAGGCGAGGCCGTCGCTAGCTGCCCGCACTGCGGCACCTGTCCCGCTGCCACCCGCCCGCGGCTGCCCCCGGCCGCCCCCGACCTCCAAGCCTAGTGGCACAGGGCCTCCAGAGCACGCCTAGGACGCCCTCTGGCTCCTCACCCGCCACCAGCAAGGACAGAAGCACGACGAACACAGCCATGGTGCCGCGGCGGCCACAGCAGTGCGGGGCGACACGGAGCGGGCCGGCGGGACACAAGCCACCACCTCAGCGCGAGGGGTTGACGCGCTCGGGCTCGTCCGGACTCCCGGAGCCCGCCCCTTCGTCGCCTCCACCGGGACAGCCTCCGCCTTCTCCACCAATCGCCAGCTACGCCGCGGCTACGGAAGAGACGTAGCCCGGGAAACGTCAGCCTGATGGGCGGGGCCTAAAGTAATGGATGGAAGGCACTGCCAATGGTAGGCAGCAATTAAAAAAAGCCGGGCAGTCCCGCCCCTCCAGTCCGTGAAAACTGGTCACGAGATGGAGGGTAGGGCGGGTGGTCAGAGGGGCTGACAGACCCAGTCGAGGGGTCCGGACAACCCACGGGGTGGGGCTGCCTCTCGAGTGCAGACCCTTTGGTTAGTCTCGAGTGACGGTCTGCTACCGGGATGTCTGTCTTTCCGGATCGTGTGCCTCCGCCCCGCTACGGATGCCAGCTGTGAAAGGCGGGGCTCGTTCAGGTTTCGCTCTAACAAGAACACAGATGCTGAGCACCTGCTGGGAGGAAGCCAGGCGACTTGGGGACCCCTGCCCTCCACTTAGGGTGCCAGATAAAACACAGAACGCCCAGTTAAATTTGAATTTCAGGCCGGGTTCAGTGGCTCACATCTGTAATCCTAGCATTCTGGGAGACCAAGGCGAGAGGATTGCTTGAGGCCAGGAGTTCGAGACCAGCCTGAGCAAAATAGCAAGACCCCCATCTCTACAAAAAAATTAAAAATTAACCGGACACAGTGGCTCCCACCTGTAGTCCCAGCTACAGAGGGGCTGAGGGCAGGAGGATCACTTGAGCCCAGGAGTTAGAGGCTGTAGTGAGCTATGATCATGCCACTGCACTCCAGCCTGGGCAACAGAGCAAGACCCTATCTCTAAAAAAAAAAAATGAATTTCATATAAACAATGAATATTTTCAGTATGTTGCAAACACTTTACGGGATATACTAAAAGAAGTATTCATTGATTATCTGGAATTCAAATATAATTGGGCATCCTGTATCTTGATTTGCTAAATCTGGCAACTATACCTCCAAAGACTTTCTGATATATGAAAAGTAATGGGACAAAAAATTAGTTAACTACTTCATACATTCACTCAATTTCCAATCTGGGCAAGGTGTTCTCTGAGGATGTCTAAGGGCTAAGCATACTAATTAGGCTAGGATCCTCCCTTCCCACAGTTCATTGTCTTTTGCCTATGATATGGGACAAGGGGTGACACAGTATAGCATCTGTGGTCAGAAAGTGATGCCCTAGCCAATGACCTTGAAAAATGGATATGGTTTCCATCTAGGTCAAGGATGGGGGATGGGGAGATTTTTCCAGCAAAAACTGTAAGGTATGGCAGGGAGAAACCTCTGTCAGGTTGAGCATTAACTGTTTAGTTTGACCAAAGAGATTATATGGGAGAGGGGGACACAGAGAGCTAAAACTCTCAGGGACATATTTATTGAGGATCTTGAATTGTACATAAAAGAACTACACTTTATTTGGTAGGAAATGGGGGGGTCATTGAAGGTGTTTGAACATTGTTAAATGCACAATATAGGACAGACTTGGGGGGGGGGGGAATGCCTTACTGTTTCGTCAGTTCCCAGTCTCCATTTTCTTCTTGGAAAGGAGGGCAGAATAAAGGTAAGTAGGTTGAAAGCAGCAGTGACCCCAGGAGTTCCCAGGTAGAAGACCTACCCTAGGAAAAACTTGCCTAGGTTTTCCTAAGTGAAAACTAGAATCAGAAAAACACTTCCAGGCCAGGCATGGTGGCTCACACCTGTAATCCTAGCCCTCTGGGAGGCCAAGGCGGGAGGATCTCTTGAGGGCAGTTTGAGAATTTGAGACCAGCCTGATCAAGAGCAAGACCATGTCTCTACTAAAAAAATAGAAAGAAATTATCTGGACAACTAAAAAAAAAAAATATATATATATATATATATGCCTGTAGTACCAGCTACTCAAGAGACTGAGGCAGAAGGATTGCTTGAGCCCAGGAGTTTGAGGTTGCTATGAGCTAGGCTGATGCCATGACACTCTAGCCTGGGTGACAGGGATATTCTGTCTCCAAAAAAAGGAAAAACACTTCCCAAATACTCAATTTGAACTTTCTGGAACCCAGTATGCTTACCAAAGTCATTCTCAAGTTAGAGAATGGAGTCTGGATTTCATCACTCAACTTTGGGAAACAGGAAACTTTTAACTCTTAAATTTGCATTTTTCCAGAGGAGAATTTGCACAAATGTGACTTTAAAGAAATCTGAAAGGAAGAAGAGATATTTTTGCCTTAGGAATGTGAAATTATTAGAACCAAAATGTCTAAAGCAGCTAATTTCCAAAACATCGACTCTGACATGACTGACTTGAAAAAATTTAATCATTTTTCTAAAAATTCATTTTTCAGCATGATGAATTCACTTCTCTTCACATCAACTAAAATTTCATTCTTTGTCCATTTTGCTGCATATCCTAGAACAGGTTTTGAACCACAGGCTCTGTGGGAGATTATCTAAATTAACCTTATTTATGGACATAATCAGCTAAAAGTGGAGCAGAGTACAGCTCCTGCAATTTCACCAAGCCTAAAGAAACAGGGAAATGAGTGAATTTTTCTGTTATTAAAAGAGTTCTAGGACATTCTTATTTCTTTGAATTTGAGGAAGACCAAAAATATTATAAATAGATTAGAATAGAAAATAAATCCCTCCCCTCACCAAGAAAACCTCACAATCTTATAACCTCTCATACTCTGTTTATGTCTTGGGAACTAACACCCCTTTTCAGGCTAAGGGTGAATAGCTTATCCATTACATCTAAGACCTCTTTTCACCTGAAGTCTCAAAGCGCAATGCTGCTCCCTGTAGCCTTGGAATTTAGCAAGATAAACACTGTAGGAAGCCTTCTTGTTGCATAGATTGAGAGACTGAAAGCAAGGGAAGGGCATATACTCAAGGTCACATTCTGAATCGTCAGCAGTTCTGCTTTATGAATGCAGCCCTTCTGATTCAATCTTTAGTGCTCAGTAAACAACCCGTGATGCGTGGTTAACTTTTCCATTGAAGCATTTAGAGGTGAATGTGTGTGGGGGGGCAGGATAATACTGTATTTGAAGTTATGACCCTATTTGTTAGCCTAAAAGAAGACTTCCTCCCCTTCCCCCCAGGCCAAACAGGCAAGACTCCAGCCATTCATTGTCCTCTGCGAAGGATTTCTCAGAGGAGAACCAGAAAACAAAGATGTCAAATTCTTGGCTCTTGAATTTCAAAACTAGAGGTCCAGTTGCAGGATGTGAAAGAATACGTAGTGCTCACTTCGGCAGCACATATACTAAAATTGGAACGATGCAGAGAAGATTAGCATGGCCCCTGTACAAGGATGACATGTAAATATCATCATGAAGCAGTCCGTATTTTTAAGTCAAGGAGGAGTCAGAGGAGTCGGACAAAGATATGGGATTTGGTCTCTTTGACTAATCACCAAAAGAACCAACTCAGCCAGCTTTATTTGCAAAACAAGGAAATAAAGCCTTACTTCTCTTTAAAAAAAAAAATAATAATAATTCCATTTGCTTCCCTAACCCTGCCTACCCACTCCCCAATTAATTCCAGCAGTGAGTTCTGAGTGATCCCAGAGTGAGCTTGTTGACATAGCCTGGTGTCTGCAAATCAGCCATCTGGGAGCCCTGTGGGGGCCAAGATCATGCTACGCCCCTCAGACCATGCAGCCTCTATTAAATTAAAATGAAGAATTTCTGTTCTTCGAAAGACATCATATATAGTATGGAAAGGTGGGGGAGGGGGAGAGTAGCTTTACAATGCAGAAACCTGACTGAACACTATCTCAGGTGATCAAGGTCAACATCAACAGTGATCAGTCACTTTGACAGTGTGTACCCTTGATGCAATGTGATGAGAATGGCACTTCACCTCTGTGACCTTCCTCCCCAAAACTCATAACCCCAGTCTAATTATGAGAAAAACATCAGACACATGCCAGTAGAGAGGCATTCTATAAAATATCTGACCACTACTCCTCAAAGGTCGTCAAAAACAAGGGAAGTCTGAGAAACTGTTACAGCCAAGAGGAGCCTAAGGAGACATGATCACTTAATGCAATGAGGTGTCCTGGGTGGGATCCTGCAACAGAAAAAAAGGACATCTGAATAAAGTATGGACTCTAGCTAATAATAATATATCAATATTACTGTATTAATTGTGATAAATGGGCCATATTAATGTTAATAATAGGGAAAATTGGGTGCAGGGTATATGGGAACTCTCTGTACTATCTTCTCAATCTTTCTGTAAATCTAAAACTGTTCTTTTAAAAAAAAGACACCATAAAGTAAGTAAAAATACAAGCCACAAAATGAGAAAAGATAAGTTGTATCCAGAGTATATAAATCACCCCTACAGGCCACTCGTGGTGGCTCACACCTGTAATTCTAGCACTCTGGGAGGCTGAGGCGGGAGGATTGCTCAAGGTCAGGAAACCAGCCTGACCAAGAGGGAGACCCTGACTCTACTAAAAAAAATAGAAAGAAATTAACTGGACAACTAAAAATATATAGAAAAAATTAGCCGGGCATGGTGGCACATGACTGTAGGCCCAGTTACTCAGGAGGCTGAGGCAGAAGGATTGCTTGAGCCCAGGAGTTTGAGGTTGCTGTGAGCTAGGCTGATGCCACAGCACTCTAGCCCAGGCAACAGAGTGAGAATCTGTTTCCAAAAAAAAAAAAATCACCCCTACAAATCGATAAGAAAAGACCACCTGATAGAAAAATGTGCTCCAGACTTGTACAGGCACTTTACAAAACAGGAAATCCAAAGTCCAGTAAATATATAAAAAGATGCTCAGCTTCATTAGTAGTTAGGGAAATGCAAATCATGGGATATCATAGCACACCACTAGATTGGCAAAAGTTAAGAAGCCTGACCATGCCAAATATAGGCAAGGATTGTGAATCAACTGAAACTCTCATCTTGTGCTGGTAGGAGTAGAAATTGGTGCAATGATATTGGAGAATATTGCCTAATCTATTAAAGTTGAAGATATATATACCCTATAAGCCAGCAGTTCCACTCCTTGGATAAATGCTATAGGAATGTGCACTTACATGTGCCA